CACACACCCACCCTACCTTAGCTTGACTCTGGAAGAAAGTGCAGCAACACAGACATTGGACTGAAAACCTGGTTTGTTCCTTTGGGTGGCCGATGTAAAACAAATGGAGTCTCCCTTGTGGGCAGCAGGCCTTATAATCCATTGAAGCTGGAGCAGCTACAGTATTTAGATAAATCCTGCCACCTCCCCCACTACATAAAGCTACAGCCCAGCAAGTGCCCAGCATGAGGCAAGGCTGAGTGGTATCCTGTGTTGCTGTAAATCGCAACTAATGGAACTGGGAATGAGGAAAGAGAAGGAAGACAATGTAACCAAGTTGCCTGGAGAAGCTGAGAGCCAGGAGTCCTGGCAGTGGAGTGGAAAGAGACACTTTCCCACACACATGGGCTCTTGGTTGCAAAACTGGTTGAAACAAACTGATTAACTATGTATACTCAGGGCTCAGAATCAGGATTAAAGGAGACATGCTTTGTAGGAACTAGCAGAATGTAGACTCCCTGCCTTACCTGGAGTGATACATCAATACATAAGGAGAAAAAGTAGATGGCTTTTTTCACTTTCCATTGCCCTTCTGAGACTAGGATAAGCAACGGTAATCCAGCTTCCACCCCCCCTTTTTTTGTCTCTGTTAGAGATGGGCATGAACCACAGGTCCAGTGATTTGTCCCAGTTTGTTTAGTGGTTGAGCAGCTGTTCAGCACCTCAAAGCCCCTCCTCCTCTGACGGATGCCCACTTGGAGGCAGTGACCTGGCTTCACTGCCTCACCTCCTCTAGGCACTGTTCTCTGAGTGGGCACCCACTGTAGGAGGCGAGGCTTTAAAGTGCTAAACAAACCAGCACAAACTGCCAGAGTGCCCATCTCTAGTCTCTAACTCCCATCAGCCCTAATCAGCAGAGCTGGCACTGAAATTATGAACGGCACAGTCCACCAACATCTGGAAGGCCACAGTTCTCCACGGCTGTTCTAAAGAAAGACACAACCAATGGCAGAGAAACCTCCCAAATACAGACAGTCATCACATCCTTGGACTACCACCTCCTACATTAAGATCACCCCCACTTCCACTGCACCAACCATTCTCTGGTGGGTCACGCAGCACTGGCAGTGCAGTGTGTGCTCCCAAATATGACAATGCAATCAGATTCTGGCAAGTGACTGAAGATGAGTGACCCATTCACAAGGCCCCACACAAACACACACAAATGTTGGGAGTCCCTAGGTGGGAAGGAAGGTCACACTGTGAAAGAATATATTATCGTACATATCACTTGTTTCATTGGTGTTCTCCCTTACATGTATTCTTGCAGTGCTAGTAAAAACAGCAGATCTGGTGGTGCTGAAGACATTCATCAACACTGGGCCATCCCAGTGGAAAACCGCATTATAGAAAAGTACAAGGAAAGGGCACGCAGCTTTCTGGAACCGTACAGCACCACCACCACCACCACCAGTTAGCAGGCAGTAAGAGCCAGCGGTGGGCCATGCAGAAGAGAGAATGATCCTCTGCTCTGCTTTAGTCCTTTGGCAACAAGGCCGAGTGGTTTACTCTAGAACCACAGTCCCTCCTGCTGCTTCCAGAGCTGCTTTTATGGTCTCTGCTTGCTCTTTGTTGACATTAGCCTTGATCTCACAAGGAAGAGTTTCCACCAATTTCTTTGCCTACAAGAGAAAGAGAACAGTTCCATTTAGTAAACAGAAGGGAACATTTCTGATTTTTTTTTCCTGTGATGGGGTTTAAAATTGTTCTAAACCATATTTCAGTGGTTGCTGTAATAATATGTGTTTAATGGAGGCTTTTTTGAAAAAGTGTGCTGCTTATATACCCACCCCATAGCATTTAAAGCACTCTCTACACATTTAATATTACAACTTACTGCATTTTCAGCCATATCTGTTTTTTAATCATTCTGTATCCCAGTTTGGGCGATGGGCAGAAAAATAAATAAAAAGATAGACACTGCGATCTACTCCCAAAGATATGAAATCCTTTGCCACTCCCACCCACCCACCTCTTCCATTTACCTCTTGATGTGAAGAGGATACCTCAGCCCACAGGAAGACTGGCCAAAGAGAAACTCTCATATTAACTAGCAATTTCTAGTGCTCTAGAAATTGCTAGTTAATATGGCAGGAGAGAGTGAGCCATTTTTGACCAGAGCCTAAATGCTTTGAAACATCCTCTCGGGAGCACAGTGATTCTTGAGGGACCTTACCACACTAGCTGCTACTGTCTCAAAGGGGACCAGTTCACTTTCACTCATTCCACAATGCTGTGGAAGTTTTCTTCCCTCTGAATCTTGCTGTAGGAGCTCAACCTGTCTCTGCCGTTTGCTGCCCCTGAGTGGTATGACAGAGTATTGACAGCAGGGCTCAGAAGGGTATGGCAGCTCTGAAAATGGAAGGTGCCACAAAATATGGCAAGCAGAACATTTTGTACATCCCTTTCTCGGATTATTTTACCACAACCCTTTCCCAAAAATCTGCACCGGCTTTCTTTCATTTTCTGGCCCTGCTGCAACGGCTCAGTTATTACATATAAAAATAAAACAACTGAAACAGCACCTATGTTAGCACATTTACAAGCATCAGCTGAGAGCTTTCACTATGTTCCATCATTAAGGAAAACACATCTAATAACACAAGACAAGGCCTTCTTTAAAGAAGAAGGGATATATATCCCAGCTGTGGGATATATTCTCAAATGGTCCCTTCATTGATGTCTTCTAAGTGCTATTGGCACATGGCTGTGCTTAGAAAACCCTGAGACATACCACCTGGCAGCTTTAGAGGCTTCTAATTTGTTCCACGCACAGCAGCAGGGTGGTTGGATAGCACAGCCTTCAATATACAGAGAACCCCAAGAAAACTGGGGTCACCAGAGCATCTGGTGATGTAAACAGGATAAGCTGTACACCAAAGACCACCAAAGAGAGGCTCAACCCCAGACAGATGTGGTCATCTTGAAAGACAGGCATTCTGAACAAGAGGAGAATTCAAAACCCTTGTGAATAACCATGACATGTCACATTCCTAACTATCCATCCTGGGGAAAAGGGCAAAAATATGCCAAAGCAAAACTTTTAAAAGTCTGTGGAGAGATTTGCTGGCATATCTATTGTACAAATAACACAAAATCTGCCTGGAACAAAAATGTCTCTACTACACCCAAGAGGCCCAATAATTATGAAATAACTCTAAAGGTCACCTAGTTCAGCAGAAGATGGGAAAAATAAAAAATTAAACTAATAATTAACAATGCAGAACTCAAAAATAGTAACATTAAGACAAATAATACATGTGGGCTATGCTATGGTATTAAAAGGAGATATGTTGATCTTCCCCTTGCTATGCTAAACAAAGATCCACTGTTTGAAGATCTGATTATTTTAGTCTTCTGGAAAGCAACACAGTACTGTTCAAGAGACTAGGCCGTCTACAATCCTGTTCAAGACAGCTAAGTTCAAAGAGAAAAGGCTTAATGAAGGATTTAACAGCTGCTACAAAAGAAAAATGCATTGAATGGAAATCATAACATCCTAAAGAAAGAAAAACTCAAAATCAGAGGACAACAAAATCTAGAAAGGTGAGATTTATCCAGGAGAAGCAAGGTACTGGTACACAGAAATGATACCATATAAATTCCAACTTATTTCTGTCTTAATAAAGGTAAAGGTTCCCCTTGACAATTTTTGTCCAGTCGTGTTCGACTCTAGGGGGCGGTGCTCATCCCCGTTTCCCAGCCATAGAGCCAGCGTTTTGTCCAATGACAATCTTCCGTGGTCACATGGCCAGAGCGACTTAGACACAGAACGCTGTTACCTTCCCACCGAGGTGGTACCTAATGATCTACTTGCATTTGCATGCTTTCGAACTGCTAGGTTGGCGGGAGCTGGGACAAGTGACGGGCGCTCACTCCATCATGTGGATTCGATCTTATGACTGCTTGGTCTTCTGACCCTGCAGCACAGGCTTCTGCGGTTTAGCCCACAGCGCCACCACATCCCAATACACCACTGTCTTAATACATTTAGGCAAAATAGTATGCATGATGTAATATTTAAGTTTAAAGAAATGGTTCACAATGTGAAAGAAAAATACTCAGCACAACGGAAAAACTGGTACTACATATTATTAAAAATGTGTACGGAGCTTAGTTGTTTACTAAGCATGGACTATTTCCTACCAATTGCCACTAAAAGGGGGAGTATCATATGTATTCCTTATTTGCACTTCTAGAAAAGCTAACAACAATTTAGTTTGTTTCCTTCAAACCAGGATATGTTTCTTATGTAAAAACTAGAAACCTTAAGTGATTTTTAAATAAGGCTGTGAAATTATATTAAAGACATGGAACAGAAGATTATTTAATCCTTTGCTGAAATAGTATATGCCAAATTAGCACTTTCTGTGTTGATAAAAACTATATGCCCAAAACATCCCAAGTAAAGGTCTGCATTTGATGCCAGGACCAGACTAAGCATAACATAATGTACTTCTATAACTCCCTAAAGCTGGCTGAATAGCTCAGTGGTTTAGGTCTCTGGCTGCAGAGCAAGAGGTTGGGAGTTCTATTCCACACTGCACCTCCCAGAAGAACCACCTGTATGGCCTTGGGCAAGCTGCACAATCCCAACAGGCCCTCAGAAGAAGGGACTGGCACACCACTTCTGAGTAGCCTTCTCTCTGGAAAGGGTCACTATAAGTCGGTACTGATATGACGGCACATAATTATAATTAGCAGTAGTGAGTGACACAAAGTTACCGTATACTGCTGCAATTGAAAAGCACTGGCAAGCAAAGCTCAAAGGAAACCAGCCACTCAGAACCCAACAAACATGTAAAACACTGTAGGATAGGCAGGGGACAGCCTTGTGTATCCTGCTATTTTACCACATGAAGCAAAATCTGAGGACACTTTGTTTCATAAAACTGGAGTCTTCTTTTGACTATCATTCTTCTGAATGATCTCTTTTTATGCTTCTACTTTTGAATGATCTCTTTTTACGCTTCTACTTCTACTTTCCAAACATTCAAAATTTTTACATTTTAAGATAGTTTATAGTAAAGAACAGAGATGCGGATGTCCCCATCCCAGCTGCAACGAATGCTGGTCCAGCCTGTCCACTCATGTGCCGCTGCACCGTCAGTGTCCCACTCTTCCTGCCAATTGCAGAAGTAGCTCCTCTGTCCCCCCCACCCCCCGCTTGGCTGGCCACTCAGTTGCTGTGAAGAGAAACCCGTCATCCCACCCCCTGTCTGGAGTGGCCAGTCGAGCAGGGAGATGGAGGAGCTACTTCTGCGATTGGTGAGAAGAGCAGGATGCTCTTCCCAAACAAATATGAATATCCCCATCTCTAATAAAGAAACAAGTTTAAGTTTGGTCACAGAATCTGCCACCAATCAATGTGACAAACCCAGACCTACTGGGATCTGCCACACGTTAACTAAGCTGCCACCAACCATTCCCTGTAAGAAGTCACACAGACCAGGGATGGATTTTTAACCAATAAAAGAATAAGGTTTATTTAAAACAACACACAGGGAAAATAAAATAATCAGGTGAATAAGATAAAGTAACGTGGCTTAGTTTCACTCATACATACACACAGTTTGGTTCACACAGAACGCTTAACTTGAAGCACAGACCCTGAACCTATCAGTTCTGGCTAACCAACAGACACCTGAACCTATCAGGTTGGTACTCTGACACACAGTAGTACCCTGTCTGACACACAGACTCCCACACCAGCTTCTTCTTCCCAGCTGCTGCTTTGTCTTCTCAGCTTCTGCTAACTTCTCCACACACGCTCCACATATATATACAGTACAGCCCCTCCTCCTGATGTCCCGCCTTCCACTCCCCATAGGATGGAACTTTCCCTCCAAACCCATGACAGACAGGTAACATCAGTGCTGTATGTAACACCCATCTCTACTAAAGAAACAAGTTTAAGTTTGGTCACAGAATGGGCTCTAATTCATTTATACTACCATGAGACTAGACCTCAGCTAAGCCTTCTCAAAGTGGCACTCAGAATAAGGGAACTTCAACTGAAGAATGTCAGGATTAAGGCCAAGGTTCATTTATTAAGATGGGCACATGAATGCATCCCAGGCAGCATTTCATAGCCTCAAAGGGATCAGAAAGTGCGATTTAGGTGTAGAAAGTCTCTTTGTACTAAAATCCGTTTTTCAGGAGGACTAGGTGAAGCCTAGAAATCTGCCTTGCTAAGGATTTATTTCCTTTCTCAAGGCAATGTACCTAGGCAGCAAGGGCCCCTCTTCCTCTTGGTGCAAAGTGATTATAAGAGTCCTCACTGCTTCTTCACCTCTGTCAGGTAAAGTAAATGGGCCACTCCACCCACAAATGCCTTCCCATTATTTTGTTTCTTTTTCTCTTTTCTGATATTTTTCTGTTTGGACTGTCAATTGTATAATGCAAGTAAAATGATGCTGGGCAGGGGAACCTCAGCCAATGAGAGGACGGAGGGTGGTGCAGAAGTGGGAGGAGCTGGGTTATATAAGGTGTGTGCGAGGAGTGTTGAGAGATGAGTTTGAGAGATGAGTGATTAGAGAGATTGATAGAGTGAGTGAGAAAGAGCCTGTCAGTGAGGGAAAAGGTCTGTGTGAGCTAGTGTCTGAGAAACAGTGATTGTCCACTTAATTTTATAACAGTGATTTACTCCTTTTATTTCTTGTAATCAATAAACCTTTTATTTGTTTGAAAGAAACCCTTGTCCTTTTGATTTAAAGGATACGTTGGTGGCAGCAAGTTTTTGGTGAGGGGTAGTGAGCACTCTTATAGGCCTGGATGAGTAAGGGCTTGAGAGTGGCCTGCTACACTGCTGTTGTTTTTTTTATATTCTTAACTGATCTATGACCAAGTCTTCTTGTGAGCATGCTTTCTTCTATGTATGACTGTGGCCTAATCCTTAGTTCTCAATGCCCTTGTTTGAAACAGGAACACCCTACAACCTATTTTTCTCACCTCACTGTTCGCTGCTTCCTGGACATTTCCTGCATTCAGCTGATGTGGAGTTTTATGTGTCTGAAATGCAACAGGATGTCTTGTTCCAAACCAACTACTTTCCTATTAGAATTCACTGCACTGTATTCTCTAACTCCCCCAAAAGCAATTACTGTATGTTTTTTAATTCTTACATGTTAAGTAACTAATGCTCAAGAAACAGACCTGTATGAGCCACTGTGATAAATCTGATAAATCATCCTACAGCCAAAATTCAAAGCCCTGTTAAAGTTGTGTATCTCTGAACATATATAAATTCAGAAACTTGCCACAATTGTTAGTCAAGGCATTTTTATTTCACTGGGTTTAAACTGTGTGTTAATTGTGCTGGAAATTTATTATGTTTGAGTTTTAATTATTTTCTTTAATCAATCACGATTTCTCATTGTGCACCATCATGGTAACTGTTGTGAGGCTCCCAAAGTGATGCATGAATGTTTCCATAGAGTAAATGAAATAGAATAAATGAGTTAGCACACCAGATTGCCATCAAATGCATCTTATATCAAAGTATCTTAAGTAAATACAACTGCAGCCTGCGTATTTTTTGGAACAGTCTGTTTGATTATTGACTTTTACATTTTTGAAATGAAAATTGTCTCCCACAGCCCTTTAATAGAATCATTCTTCCAAAAGAAACTTAAGGTCAGCAACATCTCCTTACCTGGACGAGGTTTACGTTCTGAAGAATATTCTTCACTTCCTTTATAACTTTCACTTTTTCTGCAGCCTTTATCTCAGTTAGCTTCACTGTGAAAATTAATTTCTCTTGCTTCTTGGGAAAATCTTCCTCTTCTGCCTGAAGGAGACGCAAACCAACGTCACTCAGAAAGGGTTGACAGAGACAATCCCTCCCATCACCAAATCTTCATAAGGACATAGCCGCCAGTGGGGGAACTAAAATTGTTTGGGTCTGAGGCAGCAGGAAAGATCTCACTTAACAGTCTTTTCTTATTTCCCCTACCTGCTTGTGTGGCAATGTAAGGAGAGTACAGGGGACCAGAGATGGTAAGTTAGCTGCCTGTATGTAAAGTTTTGTCTTGATTAAATGATCAGATTTTGTTATTACAATATGGCAGTAAAGCCCAAAGGGTGCATTCAGCCAGTTGCTGGGGAACAATAAGCAAATGGTTACAGCTTTCCAAGTTTCTGATTTTTCTCTACGGGAAACAAGATGCTCAAGTGCAATGCTCTCCTTATGTTCTTAACCAACCAACTAATGCTGTAATGGAGATTGAAATGGGACACTTCCTGCAGTGGGGGGGGGGCGGTTTCCTAAGGGTTATTTGTTGCCAAAATGGAGCAAATTTAATGGAACAGGCAGCTTTAAAGTTACAGAAGTGCTTCCATATTAATTTTGAAATATTTGTTTGTTTGTTTCTTTAATTACAAGTGGTTCACCCAAATCTCTGAAAGCTTATGAACTGGAAGCACAATCTCAGGATAACAGGGCTACTATAAAAACTGTCCCTTGTCCCACATCATGACGGAAATCCTATTGCTTAGTGTAATAAGTTGTAACTACAGTAAGCCCAATGAATCAGTGAAAGTTACCAAATCCCCACTGATTCAATGGGGACATGTGGGAAATACTGGTGGACTCAAACTGCCTGCCAAGACCACTACAAATTCAGAATCCCTGCAGTACTGCTTAATTCTCAGCGGCTTTCAACACCATCGATCATGGTGTCCTTCTAGATAGGCTGGCTGGGTTGGGAGTTAGGGGCACTGTTTTACGGTGGTTCCGCTCCTTCCTGGCTGACCGTGTCCAGAGGGTGGTGCTGGGGGACAGTTGCTCTGCCCCATGGCATTCATGTCATGGGGTTCCTCAGGGCTCGATACTGTCCCCCATGCTGTTTAACATCTACATGAAACCGCTGGGAGAGGTCATCAGGAGGTTTGGGCTGAGGAGTCAGCAATATGCTGACGACACTCAGCTCTACCTCTCGTTTTCCACCAATCCAGGTGAGGCAGTTTCTGTGCTGAACTCGTGTCTGGACCTGATAATGGACTGGATGAGGGTTAATAGATTGAAACTCAATCCAGACAAGACGGAAGTGCTGTTAGTGGGTGCTTCACCGGACAGGCTGGAGGGACATTTCCCTGCCCTGAATGGGGTTACACTCCCCCTAAGGGACAGAGTCCACAACCTGGGGGTGCTCCTAGACCCCAATCTAACACTAGAAGCCCAGATGGACTCAGTGGCCAGAGGCACCTTCCTTCAGCTGTGGAAATTATACCAGCTACGGCCCTACCTGGACGAGCGGAGTCTCATGACAATTACACACACACTGGTAAGATCCTGCAGATTACTGCAATGCGCTCTACGTGGGGCTGCCTTTGAAGACGGTCC